AGATTCTATTATTACAAGTACACCCCTTAAGAATTATAAACCAGATGTTAAGTTAGATTCCAATGCATTGGAGGGGTTAAAGCATAAAGTAGATTACACACAAAATTTCGATTCCTTTAATACATCACAAGACGACGACAAATTTTATTCCAACAATGAGGAACCTATGAATCTATCATTCTTGAAGAAAATTAAAAAACTAGATGTAGTCTATGGTCCACACAAAGATAACAATGGAGAATGGAGATTTGGGGACCAACCACTCAAAATAAGCAATGAAAAGATTATGATTGGAAATAAAAATTGGGCATTAACACCCGGTTTGTTTGAACTGTTGTTTTATCAAGACCCCAAGAACTATGATCATACAGAACTCGATATTTACAAAACAATATTATTAGACACAAATGCGCATAAAATAAACTATGAATCTAATGGACGAACAAAGTCCAACAGGGGACAAAAATATAAGAAAATAATAAAAAATATAATAGAGGATACTCACAGCGGCAAAGGCTTACTGACAATAAATCCTGGTAAACCCAACTATATATACTGGGACGATCCCAACGAATTGATAGAACGATTAAAGCTGTTGTTGGCATCACAACAAGCCGGAAACAATAACCATACTAATGAAATTGTTTCTATTATCGAGGAACTGCGAGAAGGAAATATAATATATTAAATAATACTCTCAAGGAGCATACAACATATGACTGTTGACAAGTTTGGACATCATTACAATCAAAAAAATCAATCAATAGCAGTGAGAGAAAATGTTTCGAGATTATTGGGAGTCAATATTGATGAAGATAACAACCTTAACGTGCAAAATAAAAAGATTAGGAATGTTGCATCTCCAGCAGAAGGAGCGGATGCGGTCAACCAAGCATACGTACATACGCAAATCAAGCACATTCAAGAAATTTTAAAGAAAAAATTCATTCAAGAGTGCACCTTCCTAAGAGAAGAAATATCACAACTCAAACGTTCACAAAACGAAATATTTAAAGCCTTATCGCAAGCTCCATTCAACTCACCAGCTTTAATATATCATACCGAATAAAACAATGGAAAAGCGGGGTTTGGTAAATGAACTTCATCATCAAGCACGAAAAAACTTTCCTAGACGAAGGGTTATTACAAAGGGTATTGATGATCTCTGGCAAGCAGATTTAGTTGAAATGGGCAGTTACTCAAAAGCAAACAAGGGGTTCCGATTTTTGTTAACTGTCATCGATACATTTTCGAAATTCGCATGGTGTGAAGCCCTTAAAACAAAAACGGCAACGGATGTTTCTATGGCTTTTGAAAAAATCTTACAAAGAGGAAGAATTCCAAAAAATTTGCAAACCGATGATGGAAAAGAATTTTTCAACACAGATTTTAAAAAACTAATGCAGAAATATTCCATAAACCACTACTCCACATATAGTGTATTGAAGGCCTCAATTGTTGAGCGTTTTAATAGAACTTTGAAGTCGCTAATGTGGAAGGAGTTCAGTTATAATGGGAATTATCTATGGATTGACGTTTATAGAGAATTGGTTAAACAATACAATAAAACACCTCATCGAACAATAAAAATGGCCCCTATTCAAGTAAATTCATCGAATGAGAAGGCATTGTTGCAATCTGCTTATAACCACTTAAAAATTTTTAGGAGACAAAACTTTCGTGTGGGTGATCATGTACGCATTAGCAAATATAAACATCAATTTGAAAAGGGATACACGCCAAATTGGACTACGGAAATATTCAAGATAAGAACAATAAGAATAACAAACCCCGCTACTTATTTATTAGAAGACTATGAAGGAAATCCCATCCAAGGATGTTTCTACAAAGAAGAACTTTTACCCACAAAATATCCCAACACGTATTTAGTTGAGAAAATTTTAAAAACAAAAGGTAATAAAGTCTTGGTTAAGTGGCTGGGATTCTCAGACAAACATAATTCATGGATAGATAAGAATCATATCATATAATCTTAATATGTAGATATACAATATACAAGCATATATTTAAATAAATAAAAACCCATATATACGTATGCATATTTTGTGTTTCAATTATTACGACAAAGAATTTTGCAATGTCAAGAACGTTTACTGTGTCCGGTAAATCTCCAATTCTACATTCAACATATTTACCCCCAATTGAATTGGGAAATAGTAGTTATGAGTGTTGCCTAATAGATTTCCAATCATACAATTCAATACCCAATGTGGATAATGATAACAATCTCTTTCACATTGGAGACAATATTATAAAAATACCTATAGGATCCTATGAATTGCAAGATATTGCGAATTACTTGGAAACGGAATATAAAACTATCCACGAGAATAGATCCATTGAAATTAAGGCGAATAATAATACGCTAAAAGTAGAAATCATGTCTTCTCATGATCCTATTTACTTTGATAAAGAAAAATCTATAGGCAAGCTTTTTGGTTTTACCGAAAAAATCTTAGAATCTGGGAAAAAACATACTTCAAACCTTCAAGTCGACATTTTAAAGGTTAATGCCATACAAATACACTGCAATATTGTAACTGGATCATTCATGAATGGGTCGCCAACGCATATTCTACATGAATTTGCTCTTAATGTTCCTCCGGGATATAAATTGGTAGAGAGGCCAATGAATCTCATTTATTTACCAGTGAACGTCAAAGAAATCGGTCGTCTGGAGATAAAGATAGTAGATCAAGAAGGTCGCTTTATAAATTTTAGAGAGGAAGAAATCACGCTACGTATTCATATAAGACCAATGCAATCATGATTATCTACAATAAATACAATCATAAACAAATACCAAGACACATTCAACACAAAGTTGTCAAACCGACAAGACCTACAATTTCAAAGGAAAATAAAGAGTTTTTAAAACTTATTAAGCTTAAAGTCAAACCAAATGTCTGAAATACTTAACATTAATGAGCGTCCATTCTCGGATGAGAATATTGTAAAGAGAGACTACCACAGCTATGTTCCATATATTCAATCATTTAAAAATAATGATGAAATTCGGATAAGTATACAAAATCAGGATCTTTACATACTTCCATCGGAGAGTTATCTATTCATTGAAGGAAATTTGAAAAATAGCAAGGGAGAAGTATCGCAAAATGCAAGACTGAGAAATAATTGTGTGGGATACATGTTTGATGAAATTCGCTATGAACTAAATGGTGTTGAAATTGATCGTACTCGTTATCTAGGAATAACTACAGAAATTAAAAATTGGATTTCTCTAAGCGAATCCGAAAGTAAGGTTATGAGCAAAGCGGGATGGAAAGCTGATAATGATTTATCAGTAGGATACTTTAATTTTTGTGTACCCTTAAACCGTCTACTAGGGTTCGCAGAGGACTTTGATAAAGTAATTTGCAACAGCAAGCATGACTTGATTCTTTTGCGTAGTGCCAACGATAAAAATGTGTGTTATTCAACCATGGATACGGAGGAAATTAAACTCACCATAACAAATGTTGTATGGAAAGTACAACACATTCAATTATCAGACTATAGAAAAATCAGCTTCTTGAAAACTATTAAGGATGGAAAAGCGTTGCCTTTAGCATTCCGCAGCTGGGACTGCTACTTTAATCCAACTTTTGCTGGTGGAAGACAACACAGTTGGAGTGTTAAATTGTCTGTCAATCATGAAAGACCACGATATGTTGCTTTGATATTTGAAAAAGACAACAAGCTGGAACATTGCGAACTTAAAAACATCAAAGTTCACTTGAACTCTGAAACCTATCCTTACGATGATTTGAATGTAAAGTTCGAAGAAAATGGCTATGCAGTACTATATGACATGTATACAAAGTTTCAACAATCATATTACATGAGGGAGCCACAACCACTTCTTACATATGCAAGTTTTAAAGACAAGCCCATCGCCGTTATTGACATTAGCAATCAAAACGAAGCTGTTAAGAATGGACCAATCGATTTAAAAATCCAATTTGAAACCAATAAACCAATTCCACAAAACACTTCTGCGTACTGTTTAATTATACATGATCGTCTGGTCGAGTACGTTCCATTAACAGGAATTGTACGAAAAGTAGTATAATCTATTTTATACTCACCTTTGCAAGAATATTTCAATAAAACGCAATTTACATAAATTTATAAACAAAAATATTTTGTTTTATTTTATAATAAGAATAGTTAAAGACTAGTTAAAATATAATACACTTATATTTACTTAAAAATTAAACATTTTGTGTTGCGAGAAAATATTAATATGATGACATTTGTAGTGAATAAAGACAATTAAATTAATATTATTACTATGCTCTTTTATCTGTATATTGAAACTTAAATCATAATTAAATTTATATTTTAATCCAAGTCCATTGAGACAGATTCATTTGAGTTATTTACATTTGTTTCATGAAGGTTATTTAATCTATAGTGGCCCCAAGCATAGGTGTGAATACCATCCTCTAGAATAAATCGTTTATCATCTTGATGGCTTAGCGATATTTTAGTAATTTTGTCTGTATATATTGTATGCTGCCTTGACCTAAACGAAAACATGGTACCGTAAAAAACCTTTTTGTTATAAAGACATTCTCGATATTTATCTATAGTATACTTTTTTAGGACCGACTTTTTAACTCCCTTAGATTTTTTTAATTCTTCGCTATCAACTACATTGATGGCATACATTTTAGGACGAAGGCCTACAAATTCAACCATTGTTTTTCCGTCATTCTCATCTTTCATCATGCCAAGTTTTTTCTTATTAATTAGAGGAAGTTTATATTTATTTTCTTTTGAAAACCCTGAGGTGTCAAATCTAGCCAATATTTCATCTAAAGATAATTCGGAATACAAATTCCGTCCGTAAAATGTTAATATGAACGAATCTGTATCCATATAATTTAGAATAAAATCCTCACCAAATTTCACTTTTAGAAAATCATACAGAAAATCATACATCACCCACTTTGATAAATCTAATATGCAGAACCCTAAGTACAATGGTCTATCATATTTTACTCTGACATTCCTAATTTGAATAGCAACCATATTTTCGGAGAATATCGAAAGGCTGTGAAAATTTGGCTTCGAGATTAATTTACTAGCAACATTCCTTCTTCTTTGGTTTGCCTCATCTACCCACATTGTCACAATTTTCACAGTTTTTCTTTTGTCGATATTCTCCATTGTCTTACCGAATGAAGAGTTATTCAATAATTTAAAAAAATCTTTTTCAAAGGCATTTTCAGCCTTTTCCCTATGTTCATTATTCTTCAGTATGTAAGGAGCTAACCAAGCGCTTTGTGTGAAAGCCAAAACTCTATGGACTTTCTTAAGAATTAGTCCATGTTTCAGAGATTGCTTAAGTAATTTGTAGTGTATGGTGTATGATGTTTTGTCAGTAAAATCTGCAATCAGTTTTTCAGTTTTTGAGCCTTCAACACACTTTTTCTCCGCCAAAAAAGGTAAATCGTTATGTTTGTCGTGAAGGTGCGGTGGATATTCAATATCAACCTCTAAAATAAAACCAGTAGGAGCGTTGTCAGGAATAGATAATATTACAGCTGGATCATTGAATTTCTCCATTTCATAACCCTCCACCCATCTAAAATCTTTTTCAGGGAGACACTCAGTCATAACTGTACCATATAAATTATTTACATCCAAATAATAGATATTTACCTCTGGTTTGGCACTATTATAATTGGGAGCATCTTCATTATTTGCTACCGAGTGTCTGTTTGAGCACTGGGTAAGCCCTCCCCGAATACCATTTTTGCAGAAATTGTACATGTCTATATCTCTGAGTAGCTCAAGTTCGACTTTAGTACATAGTAGCATTGCATCCCAAGATAGAGATGGTGCTGTGAGATATTGACAAGGGTCCAGTTCGTGAATTCGCATACATAAGCTCCTGAAATTTTCAAATACGTCTGCTAAAAGCAAGACATCAGCTTTTAAGTACAAATCCATGTAGTCTTGCATAGTTTGACATCGAAAATGTGACCAAACATTTGTTGCATGCCTATAATCGTCTGACGAGCATTCAGTATCGGTCAACTTATTATAAAATTGGTCTATAGGGGGAAGTTGTTTCTCCTTCAATTTTTCAAATGATGACATATATTCGTAGGGAAATACTCCTTTCCTAGTCATAAGTTCAAATGATTCATCATCAGGAAAATGAGATCTGACAGCAACAAAAGAATCTCGAGATAAATTCCTTGCTAATTTATCCAAACTAGTAGGCATAAATCGAAAACTATCTAAGAAACGATGCTCTAATCTATTCATTTTCTTTTTCTTCTCTTTTTTGCCCTCACTTTCCTCTTCTTGCTGGAATTCCTCATCATCTTCCTCACTCGAATCTTCTTCTTCTCCTACAACAACTGTACTTTTTAAAGAACTAGAGTCGGTCCATATTAATGAAATAAGACATTGAAATATATTTTTCTTTGTTTTGAGGTATGACTCTTATTTCACCTCCAAATTCAACTAACTCTTTAAAGAAGAGGTGACAGTCGTACGAAGAAAAATTGTGGAAATATATTGGAATAAATTTAGGTAGATGATATTGCAGATTGCAATGGTTATGTACCGCACCTCGATATTGCCCCGTTAAGTGACAATGATCTTTCACCCTATCGTTACCTAAAATGTCGCCACATATACGACAATTGATATCCCTAAGAAAGGCTGTCTCTTCTTCGGGGGTTAGAGTATTCATAGGTTTCGTTTTGGTTAGGTAACTATCATACAAAAATTTACAATCCTGAATTAGTTCTTTCAGAAAAACATTTGCTGCGTCGGGACCACTATATATAAATAACTTATTTAAATTTTCATTAAAACTACATTTAATAAAATAACTAAAAGCACATGGAATATGCTTCTTTACCTTTTCCGTTTTTTTACTCGCCCCATTGTTCTCATCTTCCTGCACGTCTTCCAGTACACTTTCGGAGTCAGCATAAATAACGAAAGGCACCTTATCCTTTTTCTTGTGATTGACGAACTTTAGTACGGCTTCTTTTTTGTTCGGCAGGGCACAGACTACTTTTCCACACTGCTTTTTGTGAGTCATACATTTATTTTCATCGTGGAAACATTGCAGGCATCCAAAACAAAAGTAACCTTTCTCCTTATGACTTGTGAATTGAGACCGCATAAGACTGAAAAAAAAAGAACAAATACATGATTATTATGATATGGTTTTGATTGATAAGTTTTGTTTATAATTACCAAGACATATCCATAACCAAAATGTAATGGAAATTTTCTTCGTTGTGCAGCAATATTAAATTAATGTGATTGCTTTTCGTCTCCTTTGTTAAGTAATATGGACCAACGACCGACTTGTTTTCATAACCGAAAACATTTACGCTAATCTCTGGGTTGTTCATTTCAAATTTTTTTATATATTTAAGACCCAATGGGAAATTTAATTGTTCGAAATTTAGCGATATTCCAGACTGCAGAATAATGACATCTTGGTGTATGTCTACGTTATATGAAGAGGTTATACTCGGATCTCCATATGCAGTTTCCCCCAATGCAACAACCATACACCACTTAAAACAAAAGTCATCATAGTTTTTGATGTTAAGGCACGCACCCTTCTTGTTGCTTAATGATTTCGGAGTTGGAATATAATGTGAGCCACGTGTTAAGTTGGCTCTCAACACATTTATGTCAAGTTTTAAAAGTTTCTCCAGGGCCCAATTAGAGCCTCTTTCTTGGAACTCTTCTGATTTAGCTATAATTTCCACACAGTGGTTGAAAACGACCTCTTCCAAATCATCTCCCAGGGTTAATAGCGTTGTTTTTGAAATATGATTAAATATATTTTCAATAGTTAACTCTTTGGAAGTTGAAGGTCCATCTTTTTCATTGTTTGGTTTCACATACAGTCCTTGGAGTTCCATATTAAATTTTATGAGCGTTTTACCGTTTAACTCATTTTTCAAGGTTTTAATTATTAATTCTTTTGAAGCATTAAGAAAATCGATCGGGTACAAAATGTCTTTATTGTTTTGTATCTCATAGCTGAGTATATTTTTGTTAAATGCACTTTTAACAATTTTTATGTCAGAATCCAGATTTTTTCTCACGGTGGATCGATGTTCTTCGCTACGAACGTGTGATCGTATATTATTCACAATTTTATCACAATCACCACAAAACTTTTCCACCTTCACAGCTGATTTATTTTCATGCTGCTGCTTTAGTTTTTCTTGTTGTTGATCTCGATTTTGTTTCATTACATGCTCATCTCCATGATGGTTCTCTAAGTGCAATTCTAAATCGTTTACACTTTCACATAAAACATCACAAAACATACAATGCTTTTTCATATGTTTCACAAATTCATTTTTTTCCTTGTAATAAAGGCTGCATGACCAACAAATTTTTTGAGACATTATAAAAACTTTTTTAAGAATATTAAGAAACGATGCTTATTAATCTGTGACTTGTTGAGTACTGAAATTTCTTCCAATCCAATCAATACATTATTGACTACATTTTGTAAACAAATAGAAATTCTGTGATTGAAGCAGAATTTGTCATGAAACTCTGCAACAACGCTTCCCCCCAAATTCTCATATCCATTTCACAGAAATCCAATTGTTAGTTAATGTAAACAATGGTGTTTCCTTCTTCAAATCCCTTCAATCTTCAATACCGAATTGATGCAGGGTTTGTCATGAAACTCTTTCAGTTTCAATTCTCTCAAATTGCTACATAATGTAAACAAATTCTTCATCGACAAAACTATCAAAAAGCGATCGATATAATGTATCAAAATGCCTGTCCACACAAGAAGAATTTGCTTTGATTGGCTACAGCAGCATTTTTTTAGTGTGTATATGCTACAACATTAATTGGTGGTTAGATGTCGCCTATATCGTTTCGAGGGAAATGACTGGAGAGCCATCTGGACAAAATAATAGAACACACATCTTCTTGTTGACTATGATACTAACCAAATTTGTCTCTGCTATATTCACTTCTCATATGGTGGATCTCTCTAGCCCCATTCGATATGATCATATTTCAATAGTTTTGGAGTGTGTCTATGCTACAACATAATTTATGGATAGTATGGATGGAACTCACCGTTAGATGTCGCCTATATCGTTTCGATGGGAATAACTGAACATTTTTGAGTCGCTAAAATTATAGACAAATTAAAACAAGTACAACGAAAAGTTAGTTTTGTCTTTTTATCTCATCATGTTTTGCATAGCCAACATGCTGATTTTCGTGTTCAACCCACTCGACTTCGTTATCGTTTTTCTTAAAACCCCTGAAATATCAATAATTGCAGCATATTTGTCAATTGAAACTCTTCTATAATATATCACATTTATTGAAGTCGATTTCTTGAAATATATGTTTTCAAATAAATTAATAAGCACATTTGACTGCAGTAATCAACATGTTGACTATATAAAAGCATTCTGAGAGCCATCTAGATAAAATGATTTTCTTCGATACTTACCTCTTACTTATATTCACTTCTCACATGGTGAATCTCTTTAGTCCCACTCGATATGATCATAATACATTTTTTTTTTTTCGGAGGGTGTCTCTGCTAGTGGTGAATATTAAAACTTGAAATTTCACCATCCCATACACAGTTTTGGATTGTGTCTGCGCTAAACTTAGCGCCATCTAGTAGTTCATATTAAAACTAGCAACACCAACGCCAACAGCCCCAATAAAATTTGACGTGGTACAATTCAAAAGACAACATCCCCAATATAATTTGCCGTGGTACAATTCAAACGACAACATCCCCAATATAATTCACCGTGGTACATTTCAAAAGACAACATCCCCAATATATTTCACCGTGGTACATTTCAAAAGACAACATCCCCAATATATTTCACCGTGGTACATTTCAAAAGACAACATCCCCAATATATTTCACCGTGCTGAATTTCCCCCAATCAACATCCCCAATAGAATTTGCCGTGGTACAATTCCCAAGACAACATCCCCATTAAAATTCACCGTGGTGAATTTACCCAAATCAACATCCCCAATAGAATTTGCCGTGATAAATCGTGGTGAATTCCCAACATCCCCATAAGCACACTACTCACACATACCCGCTCGACCATGTACAATGTCAGAGCTATGCAAGAATGTTAAGCGTTTGTAGATGCTATCAAGAAACAACGCCATCTACCCCACACCCATGCACACATTCTTGGGACGTGTTTGCCAACCCATGCTCCGTATTAAATGTACGTTCATGCATTGGCTCCACATTTAGTTTGTCATGTACGGAAGATGCCATGGATGGAGGCGAGGGATTCTTTGGGCGCAACTACATTCAGGTAAAAAATCTCAACCTCAGAAAATGCTGCGAAACTGTGAAATGGCACATTCATGCTAGGGTTTGTATGTCGTTGTCGTTGTTGTCGTTCTCATTGTGGTTGCTGTTGTTGTTGCCAGTATTAATGCCTTTCAGAGTGGCATTAATGGCTTGCGTTGTAAGTAATTAGTTTCATATTTAGCAGTGGCCAACAATGAACTGGCCCCAGATTGGGCCGTAGGCAAAAGACTTGAAATGGTTAGAGGTGGTGTTGGTGAATATTCCAATGTTGACATCAGGCGAACGAAAATCCTAGGGCATTGTTTTGATAGGGTTAGGAGGATGGTTCACAACAATACATGTATGGCCTATGCCAGTAGTTGTAATTAGATATGACTGTTGTAATATATTTAAAAGAAAGTCTACAAAAGACCCGTCAACAACAACAAGGAGTTTCAGGTTTCATTCTAGGGTTTTAAATTTAAATTATGGCCAATCAAAATGTAAGCAGAGATACGAGGAAAGTCAGATACTTATCCTATTATTAACAATATTCTAGGAGAAAAAGGAGAGAGGTTTGGGGCCATTTCACTTAGCAGATGCTATTTTTATCTGAAGTGAATTCTTAAACTCCTCCAATGAGAGATTAAATCACAAACACACAAAGGTCTTAACGAAGACAATAACTTGAAGAACATAAGAAAAATTTTGAAAATGTTCCCCAAAATCGTTTCCGAATAAATTGGAGTTTTTTGTTGGAGTCACTTTACCGCTGTGTTGTTAAGTTCTACTTCGTCCACTTAGAGCTATCAATTTTCAAAAAGGGTGTCTAAAATTGGTATTAAAAGAAAAAAAAACAATAGCTTAGTCGGATCAGAATGGATAATTTTCACCCAGTATATTCCAGTCACTTTCAATAATACATCTGTCGTGGTCCGCTTCTTTTTATTGGTCTTTAGAGAGTAGAGACAGGATCCAATAAAATTTGGTAACAATTGTAACCAATTGCAAGTGTAGAGGCATACCCTTTGTATATTTACCTTGGCAAACTCCGTACGGCCATTGGCAATTGCGTCAGGTATTCCGAAGGCGCTTCGCGTATAGCCGACGATGCAGTTTTACTAAAATTATAGGAGAGAACATTACGTTTCCTGCGACGTAAGCGAGGACGCATTTTGAAATCTCGATAATGATTTGCCACCTCATGACGATAACGATTGTCGTGGAAGTACGAGGCGTTGTAATGTTTGCGCGTCGGCAGCTGGATTGAATGCTGCGGTGCACTGGGTCGTATGGCTTTGCCGGTGACAATGAATTGATCATACGTCATTGTCGGAATATTAACCGTTCACTTATTGACTCAATACCAAGTATTGTGGAAATTTATTAATTTTCAATGAGTATTTCACTCCTCTTCGATTCGATGCACTGGCTATCTAACGAACAACTAACCACCGAATCGAAATGTCAACTGATTGTGGTTAACTTAGGGATCTGTTTGCTGTTCTGTCAATCGCATTTGGAAATACTTGACAGTAAAACAATTTATGTTTATTACTTACATCTGTACTTGTTGTGTTCGACATGGCATGGGTGTGTGTTTGCCTAGCCAAAATTATGTTCCCTGTTGTCGTTCCTTTTCGAGTGTCTAACAACTGTTTCGTATTCTGTTCGATTGTTATCACGTCAATGAGCCATTTATCAAATATTGGGAGAGGGTGGGTGGTTATGGCATTACTGTTCCCAATGCTATCCATGCTGGCTTTGGTGCGGGACGGGTAGGGAAATTTCATTTGTAATTTGTGGCAAAAGCCACAGAATGGCAAGGCAATGCTACCCACCACCGTCTGCCTATATCCCAAATTGTTTATGGAAATATGACAATTTGTGTAATTTCAATGATTCGCTGGTTGTTTATCAATATTAGATTTGTCATAGGAAACGAATGACAAAAAGAAACACAAATCACCAGCAATAGAATTTGTAATTATTTCCTAGGTCGGCACAAGGGTGCATTAAACAAAAGAAAACATTGGCTCACCATGAATGTCCCATTGCGAAGATCCACTCAATTGGGGAATCTCCACACCATCAGTCCCCATGCTAATGAATCTTTGATTAGTTATGCCAAAGGAAGGATTGCTCCTGAACATAGATAGCCGACTCTGTTCATTAAGGCTTGTGAATTCCCCCGCTAACCTTCAGACACACCAAAAAGCAGATGTCTTTTATTCTTCTCCAATTCATTCATTAGCGCTGATGGTGTCTCACACCCAATTCCAATTCCAATAAAATTAGTTTACCGTTTTCTACTTTAATAAATTATATTCGGTTTATTTGTTGGCCATTAGCATGCCATGCCAAGGAGGCGGTTGGCTCATTATAATTATTGAGATTATTTATTTCGGAAACTTATTGGCTTTTTTTTTGAGAACTTAATTAATGATACGCCAATGGCGCGGAATGCCACAAAATATTGAAAGATATGTTTATCTTTTCTTTGCTTTTTGAATTTTCCTTTCTCCCCCAACAATTTGAAAGCAATGAACTTTTTGCGCCTTATATAAATGCCAATATTGTAGACAAAGGCTAATTAAAATACCAAAACCTGTATTAACAACAACAGAAACAACAACGAAAATATGAAAGAATAATACCCACACAATAACAATAAATAGTCCATCTGATGGGGTATACGGAGAAATAACCTAACTCAATACATTTGTATGGACCCTGTTCGAGTGGTTCGAAAAGGAAAACAAGAGAGTGTTTCTAAACGAAAGTTTTTATTTGGATTTTATGGATGGAGGTATGATCTGTATCTGAAGACCGTCTATGGACAAAATACAACTTTTGAATGGGTTTGTGGTGATCTAAGTGCTCTATATTTTATATTTTTTTATACATATAATATTCTTTAAGTTTTATGAGAGCTCTTATAAACTTTCCATAATTAAAAGTCATTTTAAAGTTTTTTTTTAATCCACCAACCTATAAAAAATGGATTTTTATAAAAAAAAACATTTTTACAGAAATAAACTTGGAAATAGCAAAATATACATTTTTATTTACTTAAAAACCAAAAATATTGCTAAGAAAGAAAAAAAAACAAACTTATTTTGATCCATCATTTATTAATAATATTCTGTAATTTGCACCTACACCTAGAATATTCACACATTTATAACAACTTGAAATCGTATTCCAACCTCTATCCTCAATGCAATAACAATTATATCTAGCTAATGAAATGATCTCAGCTAAGTAGATAACTACAATTTGAAATTTGCAAAAATACTTTAAGACCAAGGTCCCCTCCAGAGAAAAGGAGATCCCAACTCAAGGGTTGTCGTATTGATTTGAAACTAAATTGGTCACCTGACAAATTTCTCCGAGTGTAACATCAATTATGATATTAAAAACCGAAACGTTCTGAAATAAAGAGATAACAGATCGCCCACAAATTTACACTAAAGCCGTATAAATTTATTTAAATGATTTAACTCAATTTGATTGCAATAATTCAATTTAAATAAATAAGCGAACCATCGCCACAACAGACATTCGTCGGGCGAAGGGCAGAGACAACAAATTGACCGATTTGTACAATCGATAAATTGTTTTAGACAGACAGCGGCAAACACGGGCCGGCACAGCTCATCACCAATTATCAAATCAATGGCAAATGGAGGAAAACCCGATAAACGGTGGCGGTAAACAAAATAAAAACGAGAATATCAATTATTGAGTGTGGGTGGCAGAGCAACAGTGCGAGGGAGTTGAGAGAGGGTGTTGGCATGCTAATAATTGACAAAGAGAGGCCAACACACACACGCACATAATTATTGACTTGATACAGTATAATCCCGATAATGAGCCCCAAGTAAATGCCTTTTGATGGATAATAGAAAATGAAAATTTTACAATAGCATCCTCTAGTGGAATTCTCATATGTCACTATACACACATATACGCACACATACATGCATTGATCTCTTCCACTTCTCCATTCGTCGAATACAGGGAAACAATTATTGAATGTTTGTTTTGACACCAATAACAACCATCATCATCTCTTATAATTTTTTTATTCATATGATTGATGGATAGATATGCATATGTATGTGTGTACGCGTACGTTGCTTTGCTGTATGGCAATGTGGCCATCAGATAGGCACCTCCAATCGGAAAAGAACGCAAAAAGGCATTGTTGTTGGTAAACAATATTATTTATTTGTCATGCCGTTTGTTGTTTTCCCGTTGTGATTGTTGAAATAAAATGAGATAAACAAATAAAATTGCATAAAATATAATAAAATAAGATCTTGTGAGCCACCCACCCCATTCATCACTAATATTCAATTAATCTTGCGGGGGGGCTAATGGGGTTTCCCAAACAGCGACATTAAACAACCACTTGGGGACCCACAATGGGTATTTCATTCATTCATTCACTAATGCCGTCTTCCACTTTTAAGTGCCAAATAACACCTGTGACTGTTTTTGCCGGTCGGCACACATCTGCAGCAACAACTTTGTGCCAAAAACAAACATAAACACACACAAAAAAAGAAATAAAACAATACAATGGGGAAAAGTGAATAAATTTCCCATTGCGGGAAAGTTCAACCGTACACCAGGCAGGGATAATCAGCAGAATACATACAAATATCATTATGGCACCTCATTTTCAAATTTGTTGCATGTGTTCTTGGATTAAAATCCATGGCACAACACACCTCACCACATTACGTCACACCACACGGCACGAAAAGTTGTGTTTCTCTTTGTGCGTAAAGAATCAAAATAATCCACTTGGAACAATTATTAATTTAATGGAAGAGCAAATCGCACGCACACACACACACCCAAATGAAGATAAGGAAAATTGTTATTCCAAAAGAAGATTAAAATATTTCTGGAATATGGCAAACAAACGCAAAATATTTCAAAAATAAATAATTCAATTAGAAAATTTACGACCCACTTTACTCACTTTTAATTTATTAACAAAATATTTGTTTTATGTTTAACGTTGCTCTTGTTGTTGCGATATTCAACTGGCTGCACTCGACGAATGCATGCGAGATATTATTTTGCGATAATAACATCGAGTGCCCAGTATTTTTGAAGTACAAAGGAACAAAAAAAAAAAAAAAAACAAAACAAGGAAAATAGATCTGCCTAAGGGCACTCATAGGCACAACAATAAAAAAATCATTGTTTACAAATATTAATTCTGTCAGGGGTTGTTAATAATTTAAAATTATTTTGTAAACAATTATCGTGATTTTTTATGTGTTTGTTTCTCTTTTTTGTTTGGAGAGAGAGTGAGAGAGGGAAAAGTTGTAAAACTCATTAAAGGAGAAAAGAGGCATGCGCGCCATTTTCAATGTTGATGTTTTATGTGTAACAACGACTGATGAAAAGAGAAATGGATCTGAGTATTAATGCAGCGCTGCTCAAAAAACCAGACCTCACTCATCAGCCCAATTTATCTTAGCTTTTTTTAAATCATCAAAAAAACAGTTTTAAACATAATTTATATATTTTTTTGTAATAATTCGTTTTATAAATAATTTTGGACAACATCCAATTTTAAAAACAATTGAAGTGAATGGATAAATATAAAAAAAATAAAATTTTTTGTCTTCTAGTAAAACCAAAAAATGAGACTAAGAGAACACTAAAATTTAATTTGAGCATTTCTCCCAGCAGAGGCCACCATTGTTGATCATTAGGACAGTTAGTCATTCGACTTCGAAAAAAATTTAGTCATTTTTCTGCTATTAAGTTATATATTTTTTTATTATTCAAGACATATTTGGAATATAAATGTCAACAAAGACACTGCTTTGTTTCCAATTGATAAATAATAATAAATGACAATTATATATTCGATATTTTGTGTGTTTGAGAGAATTGAGTGAATAGACTTAAGTTCTCTCACAGCAAGTGTAAGGTGATGATGACTCCTCATCTGGAGTATAAAAGCTTTGCTTTGTTTCTTTGCTTTCTTTTGAAAATATACTTTAAAAAAGGAGAAAAAGAGAATACAATATATGAGAACCGAAAGACAAAAGGGCAATCCTTCAAAATCAACATGTCAGCCAAAACGAAGCTGGTAATCATTCTCCAACATTTATTCGGTTTAATCTGTTCATTTATTAAATAAATAAATAAACTAAAAAGGAACACCACATTTTTTTAATTTTCTTAAACTTGACTTCAAGTTTTACTACTTTTTTTGAGTAAGGGAACCATGTCCTAGTGAAAAATTATAGATTTCTGGTAGTAAAATAACAATGCTGCCTAGTTTGTCCCACAATTTCGTGCATTGTGAAA